TAATACTTATTTAGAGATATGCATACAATATATAAGTAGTATATTTGTGACATTAAAATTTCATGTGGGAGGGGCAATTAGAAAAAAGTCTAAAAATATTCCTTAAGGGTATGATAATGAAATAAAGGTTGAGAACACTGGCCCCGGGTGGGATGCAGTGATATACAGTTTACCTTTCTCAGAAAATATGGTCATTTGTGCTAGCATACGCTGGGAAAGGAATCATGACAGATCATACAGTTTATGGTTTGTCATAAGACATTATACTTTTGTATAGTATACACGTGAGAAAAAGCTGTTAAAAAGCTAGATTACTTCTCTAACAAGTGTTCATGCCCCACTTTGGGCAATCTAGAGTTCCCATTTTAGATCAGACTTGATGTATTTTGCTTTACTTTTGTCCCAGGAGTTCTAAAATAATGTGGTAAATAGTTGACTACATTCATGTTCATTTATCATTATATACACTTATTTACATGTGTGTGTGTATCTATCTATCTATATATAGATACACACACACGTATAGTTAACCAGTTGCCTACAAAAAGCTTATTTATCATCTTAAGTACCTGATTGTAAGCAATTGTCAATTATAATAATAGCGAAAGTTTTAGGTATAAATTATTCTAAATCTCAAATGTCACAGTGAAAATACAAACTGGACCAATTATCTCTTATTACAATACAAATAATTACTTAATTGAAATTAGTTATTAATTATTGTTTCTCATTTCAAAAGGTAACTTTAGAATAACTATCTCTTGTGTAAATGCAGTAAGAAAGTATAAAACACTGTCCTCTGACTACTTTTCAGTTGAAGTAGTAATAAGCAACCAAACAGACTGAAGGGGAAACATAACTGAAAAGGAAAAGATAACATTCTAACTATATCAAGTGTATTCAAATTTTAGGAACTGGGATGCCGCCTGGTCTCTCTTCCTATTTATAGAGAGGAAAGATAAAAAAGAGAGGTGCCTGCCCTGCTAGTGTGGCTCAGTTGGTTGGGCAACATCTTGTGCACCAAAGGGTTGCTGATTCGATTTCTGGTCAGGGCACATGCCTGGGTTGTAGGCTTTATCCCCAGTAGGGGGCATGCAGGAGGCAGCCAATCAATGTTTTGCTCATATGGATGTTTCTCTCTCTCTCTAGTTTGCACGAAGCACAATGTATGTAACAGAGAAAAGGTGGTGATACAACTGAAAAGACAGAATGAATAAGGATCATAAAAAGTTGTAAATGTCAGCAATGACATTATTACAATAAGTAACTATGAATAAACAGAAACTGAATAAATGACAGGCATTACTCAGTAGATAAAGGTGAATGTCACGATCACAGCTATACTTTTGTAAATACCTACTGAATATCTATGTCTTGGTGACATAAAGTTGAAGAGGAACAGTGGCTCGACCTTTTGGGGAGGTGTGCCAGTCCTGATTCTGTTTGCTTCTGAATCTATTCTTCCCCTTTCTCCTGCTCTGCACTACATGGTAGGAAACCTGACCCCACAAAGGCAATGTTTCCTAGGCTCCATGTCAGCTGGCTTCTGACTGGGTTCAATAAATGCGAAGCACCAGTATAAGATTGATGGGCTGTTGAAAGAAGCCACACACTTTTTCTCCCACTCCCTCTGCCTTGGCAGAATCTCCTCTATGACTATTATTACTCCCTCACCAGACAAGTGTACCTTCCATCTTCCACATAGTGAACCTAGCCTCTGGGTTCCCTCATCTCTCCTTGTCCTGACTATCTTAGCGGCTTTCAGCTGTTGTTACCCTCTGAGTTGGCTCACTTAAGCTGCTCTTCTTAGCTTTTCTATCACCAGTGTAACCAATTCCCTCATTAAATCCCTCCACGTTAAATACTCAGATTGGTTTCAATTTTCCTAAATGACTCATAAGAAAGGAACAAACCTATTTAGGAATCTAAAAGTTCTGGACACTTCACCAATAAAACAGCCCACCTGCATATAAGCCTTTAAAGACAGTTTTGGGGGATCCCAGAACACCTGAAGCCCATCCATTAATCCCAGATTAAAAATACTGAATATGACAAAAAGGTAAGTTTCTTGAAAAAATTCTAGAGGGGGATAATGGTGATGGTTACAGAACAATGTGAATCTAAATAATGCCACAGAACTGTACACTTGAAAATCATTAAAATGGTTAAATTTTGCATGTTTTCTAAGAAAAAAAGGAAAGCAAACATACAGCTACAATAAAACATGGTAAGGGTATAACAAGAGGTAATATACAATGCTGTGGGAATATTTAAGTACTAACTATACCTGTTGGAAGAGGTTTCAGAGGTTACACATTTGACCTGAACCATGAATGTTAAGAGTACTAGGAAGACAGGGAGAAAAACACTGCAGGCAGAGGGAACAGAACACATACGAAAATTTGGAGAAACTGCAAATAGTTTGGTATGTCTGGAGCACAGGGCAGATGTTGAGATGAAGCAGGATCAGTTCCAGAGAGCACTTTGTATGACATGCTTATAAAAACCAAACTGATGATCCAGAGCAATAAACAACATTTTGATATATTCTGGCTTGTACAATATTTAAAGAATTTCCAGCAAGGAAACAGCTGGCTGTAGCTGAGTAGCAAGGGCTGTTTAAATGGAGCAGCGAGGTACAAAAGTCAGTGCCGTATGTTGAAGAACGAATGGTAGGTGAGAAAGTAGAGCAACTAAATCAAATTTATTGTTCTCTGAATAAATGTGACTTGTGGAAGTGTGACAGAGCATTAGATAGAATGTGAGGTGGGGACAGGAAAGTGTTTAGTGTGTGTGTATGTGTAAGGGTAAAAATCCTAATTATGTGAACGCTAAGGCAGCGAACTTACCTCTCTCTCTCCTTAGCATTTGGCAGTCTGGAACATACCAGGCACCCAAAGATTTGCTGAAAGAACATTATGAAGAAAAGCGACCAACAATAAGAGAGGGGCTGAAGATGGGGAAGGAGTACTGACAAAAGAATCATGAGTGAATAAAAAATGTAAATACTTCAAGCTACTAAGTTTTGTAATTGCAGATCTTTACATGCTGATGTGAGCTTCAAGATATATAATGCTAAATGAAAAAAAGCAAGCACAGTGAGAGTGGGGAGATTTATTATGTATTCTTTGGCACAACTTGAAATTTAAGTTCATAATTGTTTCAACTTTAAGAATAGGAAGTGTAGTGCCTATGCTTTAGTGAGATTTTGTTTTGTAACAGTAAAAATGATGAACTGCAAGACTATCTGAGAAGCAATAACAAAAGTCCAGAAGAGAAGTAATGGGAGGCATATTGCTAGAATAGGTGGCAATCGAAAGGGAATGTGAACGACAACTAGTTTAGGATAAGAAACAATGACTGGAGTTTTTATCCATTGGAAAAAAGTAGGAAGTCAAGCAGAACAGCTGGTTTGTGAAGAATAAAGACAAGTTGGTGTGAACTGTTCCAGTTAGAAAATCAAATTGTTTTTGTAAGACCAGTGGTTCTTAACTGAAGAGTGATTTTGCCCTACAGGGAACGCACTGGCAACATCTGGAGACATTTTTTTGTTGTCACACAACTGGGCAGAGGTGGCAAGCGGAGTCCTACTGGCATCTAAAAGACAGAGGCCAGGGATGCTAACCATCCCACAATGAACAGGACAGTTCCCCATCGGTAATTATCTGGCCCAAAAAGTCAACAGTGCCCAGGTTGAGAAACCCTGTTGAAGACCATGGTTACTGAAGTGCATCTGGATTACCAAACTGGAGGGGGGAAAAATAAAGTATGTCAACGTTATCACAAACACTGTGAAAGTCTACTTTGGATTGGTTTACGTGTAAGTCTAATAAACACGACAATTTCAAGATAGTCAACTTTTTCTCACAGACACAGACGTAGGTTAACCGTTGACACTCAATTCTCATAAAGTAGGCAAAAGATTAGCCAAACATTAACAAAATATTAGCTTAAACTTAAGCCATTAAATTAGTTGCTCCAAAAATGGATGATGGAACCACTACCCTCTAATATTTCCTGCAAAATGTGTCTATCAAGAGACCGTGCACAGACACCATTTCTTTGGACAGGGCTGGGTATTTTAAAAAGAAAGGAGAGAAATGGGTGTTTCTAATAATAAAACAATGGTAGTAATAACTGCAGACACTATGGGAAGTTTCACCGCAGATGTTTACCATTTACTTCCAGGGATGTCGCATATGATGTCTGTAAATCACTGGCCCGGGTTTTGAGTTTAATGTGGCTCCTGTTCCCTGCAGCACAATCCTCTTTATTCGTTCAGGAGACAGACAGCAACAAACCCTCTTTCCCACAAGGACAAAACACCTTGACCAGTGGCCCGAGGAACCAAGCCTCCGCAAATGGAGGAAAAACTAACTAGGACCAGAAAAGTCAACTGAAAGTCACTTCCCACGTGAAATTACTTGCTAATTAAAAAAACACCCCGAATTGCTGTTTTAATATATGCAACTGGCATTTCAAACCTCTACACTGGACGACTTATCGCGGTGGGCGGAGAGGGAAGCACACACCATTAGCCTCAAACTCGTAGTTATGAGAAGGGCGTCGGGAAGGTCTTTCCACAAAGCTGGGGGGCTGAGGAAGTCCTTCGTTTTTCCTATTTTGGTCCCAGCCCTGACAAGGGAAAGCGCACCCACGGCTGAAAAACACGAAGCCCGCCCGTCACGCAGACGCCGCTCCTTCCAGGGTCCCAGGCAAGGGAGCAGGCCTGCCTCGCCCTCCGAATCCGGGCCTCAGGTGCTGCAGCCCCAGCTCCTCCTCAGCCCTCCCCTCGCCACGCAGCCTCTGAGGGGAGCGTCCACACAAAGAGGCTTACACCGCCCGAGCCCCCGGCCGAAGAAGAGTCACCGCCAGGCTGAAGTCGTCGGCGGGGAGGCAAACCCCAAAGCTTCCCCACCCTGGGAAAAACCTTTGGCCCCAAAGGTGCTTCCGTCCGGCTGAGCTGGTCCGATATCCCTCCCTCCCGCGGCCGAGCTTACCCAATACCAGCCGGGCTACGTCCGAAGGTAACAACATAATCGAAGGCGCAGAGAGAACCGCAGTAAGACACAAGGCTCGGGGAAAAGCCAACACAGCGACCGCCGCTGCGCCGCATCTCCCGGTTCCAGTGGCGGCACTGAACCCGCGGCAATTCGTCCCGCCTCTTTCGCTCCGCGCCAGCCAATCGCTTCCGCGGGAGAAAGAAAGGCGCCGAAATGAAACCCGCCTCCAGCCTCCTTGAACATGTCGTCATTTCCTCCCTCATATTTGGAGGGGTTGGATCGAAGGGGGCGAGGAGGTGTGGCGCAGGCCCAGCAGCCGGAGCCGCCCGGCCAGCTGCGAACGCGAGGGCGCACGCCATTGGTGCGCACGGCGCAGGCGCGTCTCCGCGGACGTGCCCAGTGTTTTGGGGGAGCGACGCTGACGCGCATGGGCAGGCGGTGCCCCGGGGCCAGGGCTGCCCGACTTCCTGCGGAGACTATCCGTGTCTAGCCACGCCGGGTTGGAACCGGAAGCGGGAACAGTGCGCGGATAGCGGGTTGGAGCATCTGCATCCGCGGCCTGAGGCTAGTGGAGCGGCGATTCGGGTGGCAACCACCGTCCCCTCCAGAGGTTGCACGTGGGCTGTCGGAGACCAGCGGTCGGGTCGCAGAAGCCATGCTGTCGAGGAACTGAGTCGTGTCCGAGCCGTCTGCCCGGCTCCCAGACGCCCGATCTCGTGCAGTCCTGCGGAGCGGCCCGTGACTCGTCTCCACGCCTCATCCATCCCGGATTCCTGTCCTCTTCGCTCNCCGGAGCGGCCCGTGACTCGTCTGCACGCCGCATCCATCCGGGATTCCTGTCCTCTTCGCTCTCTCCCGCCCTCTCCGGGCCCCTAGCGGATTTAACCACGAACCTTCTTCTAAATGCTCTGAATTGAACCCTCCTGCGCGTCCAGATTTAACGAGGTGACTGGACCAATCACCTTTCCCCTCCCTGTCATAATTAGCCTTAACCAGCGAACATCTGTTGGGAGTTTAAACTACAGTCACGTGGTTGAGGGCACGGGCTCCGGAATCCCGTTGCCGGAGCGGGGTGCGCGTCCCGGCCGCCAGCGGTGTGACTTCGCTGTGCTGCCTGCCTTGGGACCATCCTTTCCCGTGGCGAGCATTCAAGAGCGTTCGCTTCTGCTTCTTACCAGGTACGGATTAGGTAAAAAGACTCACAATTCAGGATGATAATGTGATAAATAGTAGAGAGGAGGATGAGGTTCTCTGGACACAGCCCCGGAGAATCAGTTCCCTTTGTGCTGAGACTTCTCAGTGTTCAGTTGCCCTGGAGGATGGTAGGGGCCTTCTGCACAGCAGGCAAGATACGTGTCAAGGCACAAAGTTGTAGAAGGTTCCTGAAGCTCAAAAGTGAGGTCTGGTGTTAAATGAATTAAATTTGGGCATTTTCAACATGTCGAAGTCCTAGGAGTGGGTGCGATCTCACTGGGAGAACATAAGAGTAAGAAGTAAGGAGACAAGGATGTTTTCTCAAGTGTGGGTGGAAGAAGAACCATCACAAGAGACTTATGAAACCGAAAGGAAGTGAATAGTGATAACTGCTAATGATAATTTTATTGAGCATTTGCTGTTTTCCATGCACTGTTAAACATGTACATAAATCTTACCTCTTTGAGGTAGGTTCTAGTATGTATTATTTATCATTTTAACATTGAGAAAACAGGTTTAGAGATTAGGTGACTCGCCCAAGGACCTTTAGGCTGTGCTCCTCTCCCTCCCTAAAATGTTGGTGGTCCTGCTCTTTCTGTGATTAACACTAGTTCATTCAGATCTTGGCTTTATTGTAACTCCTCTGAGATGTGTTCCCTAACAGTTTATCAAAAATAATCCTCTCTATTATTGTGTGTTTGTTTCCTTTGAGACATATATCACTAGTTGGAATTATGCATTGATTATTAGTGTACTTGTTTATTGTCACTCTCTCCCCCTAGTTTTGGCTCCAGGAGGGTAGGATTTGTGTCTATTTGGTTCATTATAAGTCTAGATCCTCCTAGGATGGTACCTTGAACACAAGTTGCACAATAAATAAAGTTTTATGTATCAGTGAATGAACATTTCCTGTTTATGTAGGTAATACTGAAGTTTTGTTTTCTTGAAAGTAATCAATCTTTGAGAAACAGAAGAGGAGGAAAACAAGTTCAGAAAAGCCACAGCTTGAAAAAGTTTAGAGCTGCCTCTTCCTGGACGTGTCGCATGTTTAGTAAACATGCATTTTTTTCACATTTCATATAACATCTTTAGTAAATTTAGGAATAAAGGAGCTGACTTTTATGATTCTTTGAATATTGCTAAGGTGTTTTATTTTCCTTATTCAATCAAGAGGACCTTAAGATTGAACGAAGGGGGAAGAGTCCTAGATAAAAACCATAGGGGGTGGGAAAGCAAAAGCGGCAGTCGTGTTCTGAAGACGCATACAGTCAGATGAAAAATACTATCAAGTAAATAACATCCTGTAACCCACAGCAGAGTAAAGGAGGTTGTAATAGGGATGAAGGGGCCAGAACAACCGATGAATACAAATGGAGAAGAGATTTAGAGCTATCTGCCAGTGGAATAGGAAGTCTTATTAGGTAGTTTGCTCTCACTGTGAGTGGTTAAGGAAAGGGCAATAACATTTTAGGAGGGATTTCTTCCTTTGAAGGAAGATGGGACATGATCTTTTAGTTCCTCCCACTTCTAAGATTCCCTGAGATTAAACATGGACAGAGAAACATACTTGATCCTGAAAAATCAAGTAGAACATATATGGATGGATGGGAAAAGGACTTTTCCCATTTTTTTTTTTCCTCTTGAGATATATGTATATGTAGCTAGCATAGACAATGTGTATTTTTTTCTTTGTTTATTAACATTGTATAACAGAAATGAAGCTTTTTTTAAAAAAAGCTCAAATATTAAAATGCTTTTCTTATAATATTTTTTGAAAGGTTACCAAAGGAAAGTTTGATTATATCAGAAAACCTAAAAGGAGGAGGGCTACTGCAGTGGAATGAAGGCACAGTAAAATATAGTTGATCTTTGACATTTGCAAGGGATATCATTGTAGTATATAATTTCCTATGTTTCCTTTTAAAACAAGAATATCACTTTCCTCCTGTTTTTATGTATAAAATGAGAATCATAAAGCCAGTTAAGATGGAAGTGCTAGGCAAGGCTTCCTAGCTCTGATAACCTTCTGCTCCTCAATTCCAAAGCATAAGCAGTTTAAGCTTTTGGCTCAGCTATATAAGTCATTACATGTAAGAAAGGGTGCTTTATTTCATTTTTTCATTTTTTAGAAAGGGTGCTTTTAAATAGTTCAGATGGTCAGTATTAAATCCTTAAGGGCTCTTTTCCTTATTCTTTGACTGTCTTCCATTCATTTTTGTGTTTCAGTTTAAATGACATGTTTCTTAGAAGAGGTCTCATAACAATAAAGTAAATTATATCTGTCATATTTTTATCTTGCTACTGCACACACACATTTGCATGTTGTGATATATACTAAGAAAATTTCATTTAATTATGGAAATGTTAAGAAAAATCATCGTGCCTTTGATCACAAAATGCCTCTAGTTGTAGAATTACTTCTAACGACATATTAATACCACAGTCTAGAATAATTTTATGTATTTATTGTTTTTACAGACAATGATGTGTTTTCTGAAATTCTGAACCATGAGTCTAGCTCTTAATGATCTGCTTATTTGCTGCCGTCAACTGGAACATGATAGACCTACGGAACGAAGGGTAGTAAATTACTTAAATTTAATCTTCCCTTGAAATATGTGTGTGATTGGTAACCCATTATTATGTTCTTTTTTCATTTTCAGAAAGTAGTTGAGAAATTTAAGCGTCTGATTCGGGACCCTGAAACCATTCAACATTTAGATCGGCATACAGATTCCAAACAAGGGAAATATTTGAATTGGGATGCTGTTTTTAGGTATTCCATTTTAATTTTTTTTTACTCTTCCCCCCCCCGCATTTTTAATTGTGTTGTGATTTTTTTTTTGGTGTGTGTTTAGGTTTTATTTATCTTTGTCCCGTGAATAACATCGTGCCTTGCATATGTTGTCGCTTAATATTTATCTGAAACATAATTTTAAAAAGATGTTTATATAGACAAAGTTAATTTTAAATAGTTTGTTCAATAAAATGTCTTAGACACATCTCACTCAATATTTGAGAGGATTCCTTTCATATCAGTTGATAAGACTATTTTAAATTGGAGAATGAAATTAGTTATAGCAAGTGCTTTATTATTACTTTGACATCTTTAAATATTACTTTATGTAACTACTAGATGCTAAATTATAATAAAAGTAAAAGGAATTTTAGAATAATTCTATATGAATGCAGTTAAAAAAATAAACAATTCAGGCATTGGAAAGGTACAATTGGTTGCTGGACTGGTGTGGCAAGCAGAATTGAATAATTTCTTTTACACGAAGACAATTTTCAACTATTAAGTCCATTTGTAACTAGAAATAGATTGTAAGACTTAAGAAAGATAAATAAAATATTAAAGTAGAATACTGAGAAACTTGAACTATTTGTAATCAAGAGGAAGTATGAGTATTTACTTGTTCTTGAGAGTTTAAAACAGACAATTTATTTTTACCTCTTATTTGATACTCAGTTGACTATTACAGATTCCAATGTGGATAACATAAAAAGTGCATGCTCCCTCTTTTGGTTACTAAAGTTTATTTCAGATACCACAAATATAGTTATTGTTTAAAGATGAATACTCTTTTGCATAAGCTGATCAGGTAGCCCAAATATGCACCTGGCACTCCCAGTTAATCATGAATATCTTGTAGGCAGGCTTTATTTAAATGTTAGAAACATTTTCAGCTGCCTAGGAAAGACATAGGTAGGTCATGCACAGAATAACAGAAGTAGGTGAGACAGAATTGAGAGCCCCTAGTAATACTGCAAACTTTTAATAATAAAATGAGAAAGCAGGCAGTAAGTAAAGCAACAGAAAATCATGGAGGTTACAGATTAAGAGCTTTGCAGAGCACACTCTAAATTGGTATTGTGGGGCTAAGACCTTAAAAGAGTAATTTATTTCATTTAGTTGGTACGCTGATTGGAGTAATGTGGTTTAAAAGATGTTCTTTATGGGCATGAAGGATTTTGTGAAGCTATTATAATAATTTAAGC